AAAGGCTTATTTTACAATTGAGACATTAACTTGAAAACAAACTGGTTTAAACATTGTTTGTAAAAAGACAACAAAGTGCTTCCTTTGTCCTCACTGACACTAATCATCGTCAGTTTAAACAGGGTGACGAGCAGATCAGAGAGGTCAAAGGTCATCTCAGAGGATCAGAAGGCACTGTGTGTGTGTGTGTGTGTGTGTGCGTGTGTGTGCTATGATTCCACAGTGGAAAAGAGGAAGAGACACTTTGCATAGAAACCCTTTTCACATTTGGTTTATGTTTGTTTTTCTCATAATCAGCGACACATAAATACACATATGTAGAATGAGGCGTGTTTCTTTCTGCTGCTTTTCAGATCAGTACCCATGCATGTGTCACAGACAACACTGTGCTTCATTTGACAACAAATAGTGCACATTAGAAAGCTGCTGTACTTTCACTGTCCTCTGAAAACCAGACATCTCAGAGCCTGCAGAGTATGTGCCAAACACACAGCAAGAACTTGATGCAGAAAAGTCTCCTCTCTTTGAGCTCATTAAACATTTTCAGGGCTTTTTAAAAATGCGTCATTGTGAGCTTTACACAAACATGCTGCAACAGGTTTAGAGATACTTGGATTACAATGGATGGTGACATGATGAAGCAGGTACCACAGTTTCAATTGAAATATTCTGTTTTTGTGTCTATTCCTTATCTTTACTTTGGTGTTAACATCAGCAGACATAACTCAAACATCACCATTCATACAGATGGAAAAACCTCCACAGTATAACCTTTAAGGGAATTAAGAGACACAACCCGCCTGTTTCTGAGCGGGAAGCTTAAACATTGTTTGGTGTCATGGTTCAAATGTTTGAGGTGATTGTAGTGAGATCTGCAGACCCACAGTGCTTTTACTGCCATGGGTTAAACAACCTGAAATAAAATCCCCTTTCTGTCTCTTTTCAAAACATTTGAACTCACAGGGAAGAGTAGGAATTCAGCTGTCTATCATGTGACCACTGGTGCACAGACAATGCTTTTGGTATTATTATTATTATTATGGTAACTTCCATATTGTACCATCAGACCATGTCGTACCAGAGCGGGCCAACAGCCCTGCACCTCAGTCACGTGGAGATACACAAACAGAATGAGCATAAATCATGCATTATTGTCTCTGCAGGAAAAAAATAAACATAGGCTACATACAGTTGAGCCTATATGCAAGCAGTGTGCACTTTGATTTTCGTAAGTCTATAAACACATGTTCTAGTTCATTAGGAGACGATACAGAGGTGGTAACTTGTATAAAACAAAGGAAAATATGTGACAACCATGCACAACAGGCTGGTCTGGATCATCGCCCCCATGCCCTACCTTAGCTGCTCTGGTATGTGAGTAGAGTGTGTCATGGCACACGGTCTGTACGGAAATAAGGCACAAAACAACCAGTCCTCTGTTGTGTGGTTCTGCAGGGGGAACGAGCTTATTGGCTTCTGCACAAAAGTTTCCAAAGGCACACAAACACTGCAAAACAAATACGATCTGAACAATTCATTTAGTTTTTACTGTCATAAAAGTCAGTAAAAGTCTCATTCTCTCAGAACAAATGAAAAATAACCAGGCGGTGATAGTGAGATGATTTCACCTGCTTCCAAAAATGATCTTGTGTCAAGAGTTTTCAAAGATCAGGTGTCAGTTCCTGCTTTATGAACGGACACTTTGTCCAGAAAGTTCCTGAAACAAGAGAAACTGTGAAATGGTCTCACCAAGTTTTCTTATTATAAGACCCGCGTGTTTGAAAGCGGCACACTGGAGAGTGCTCTTTCACTTGTGTTTAGAGAATGAGACACTTAGTGACAGTAAGAGACCAACTGCTTTGTTTTGACAGATATTTTGCAGTGAACACTTCAGCTGCCTCAGTCTCCTCACAGCTCTTAGTCTGTCCATACACATGAAGAGATGTAGACACATTTGTGTGTATAAATCCAGCATTATACCAATCTGGCTCCTCTCTGGTTGCAGTCCATCTCACTAGTCTCTCAGCTGCCCATGGGTTTGAAGGATCCGTCTGGCAGCTGTCTAAAGATGCCCCGTAAGGTGTCCAGCTCCCGGGTCAGGTGCTCCACTCTCCGCCTCAGTCTGTCGTTGTCGGCGGTCAGCTCCACCACCTTCTGCTGTGTCTCCATGTTGCGCATTTTGGCCTTGTCCCTGCTCTTGCGCACGGCCACGTTGTTGCGCTCACGCCTCAGCCGGTACTCCGGGCTGCTCTTGTCGACGTGCTTCTTGGATTTCCCGCCCCCCCGGTGCTGCTCCAGCAGCTTCAGCCCCCCATGCTGCGGGTGCTGGTGTTGATGGTGGTGCTGGTGCGGACTGGGCACCGGGGTCGGTGGAGGGGTCGGGTGGCCCGGCTGGAGGTGCATGGTGGTCTGCGCGCAGTGCGCAATCTGGTACTGGAGGTGCGGCAGCTGTGGCTGCTGCTGTTGAGAATGCTGGGAGTATTGCTGCGAATGCGGGTGCGGGTGGTGGTAGGTGGGGGGCACGCCCGGGTTCAGGTCCTCGTCATCCTGGGGCTCCTGCTTGATGGCCACTGGTCGAATGCGCGGCGGGTTGTGCTCGTACAGCGGGTCCAGCTTGGACTCCATGTAGTTGGACATGTAGAGCTGCTGGGGGCCCGGGATGCATGGCACTGAGTCGTACTCTCCGTTCATGATCTTGACCTTGTCCTGCCGTGAGTTGTGGTGGAACAGGTCGGCCAAGAAGTCGTCGTTGAAAGCCGACGGGTCGATGTAGGCGCTCAGATCAATGGAAGGCTCGCTGTCTCCGATCTCACCCCCGAGGTCTGCCGGGTCTCTGTAGCCGGAGGAGGGCTGCTGGCCGTGGTTCAGGCTGCTCATGAGGGGCCGGGGCGCGACCTCGTACAGGTTAGAGAGCTCCATGGAGAATCTAAACCCAGGCAAGCATGGCGAGGAGCTCCGGGAATCCAGCTTGGAGAAAGTCAGGCTCTCTGTGAGGTCCTCAGGTGAGGGTGTGTGCGCACTGAGGCTCAGCGAGAATGTCACAGGTTGTATTTCAGTTCCACAGCACACAGACGTGGGTTAAAGCAACCGGTTGTCGCTCTGAGTACTTCTGCTTAGTAAACTCTGAACCGTCGAGCTGCAGTTATATAGCAGGAGGAGTGGGCGGGCACACACGAACACACACACACACAAACACACACACACACACACACACACACACACACAGTCCAGAATTTAACCCACACGTTTCCCGAGGCATTTTCACTAAACTCATTCCAGCGCTGCTGTCACTGGACGTGATCACAGAAGTTTATCTCAGACTCCGATGAGGCCAGAGCCAGTCAGCATTTTGGCTGAAACCAAATGCGCAAAACAGCGCGTTTGCCGTATTTATCACCACCATTCAGTTCCTGCCTCGGACTTGCTCCTCTAATGAGCCACAGTGTTACACGATCTAAACGAAGTTATGTTCCTCAGGTATAAACGCCGTTGCGTCAATGATAAATTATGATGCCAAATATGAAGTTCAATATAAAACCTTTGTGTCTGCCCACAGGCAGTGTGGCATTAAACCAACAAATATCCCAACTGAGTTTGGTATTTTCTTCGTAGAGGAGCGTCATTTATCAGACTCATCAGCTCCACAGCAGATTTAAAACTTTTAAGGTTTTGCGCACAGCCTGCAGAGATCACACGCCCAGACTTTCATATTTAGGATACTTTGAAGAAAATGCGTTTGGCAGCCTACATCAAACCAACCAGACAGTCAACAGCGCAGCAGGCCTCCACCAAGGTCATGCAGAATACTCACTTTTTCCTGTCATTACATTGATATTTTAACTGTGCTCATATGAAGACGTTGTTTAGCGGGTTTAAATGAGTGACCGTCCCTATGACCAGATAAAGAGCAGGGGTCCCTGCAGGACAAACAGGGGCAATAAGGATCTTGTTATGTCAGTGATGTCAGACGGGATCAAGCCAGTGTCGAACTGCAGGGAGGCTGCAGAGAGCCTGAACAGAGGGCCCAGAGCGCCCTCTGTCGCCTGAAAACCAGACCTCCTGTTCTGAGGACTGTGGGCTGACCTTTGTACAGGAGGCAATTATATTATTTGTTCTCTCTTATTGCATTAGATGTTTTATTTTCCCTCCATTGCTACAAGGCAATGTTAATCAGGTAGTTTGCAACCCCCCACTTCCTTATTATCACTGTAAAAATGGTGTAGTGGGACTGTGTAGTTACAGCAGCACATGGACTAAAATCACTGCTTTTTTGAGTGAGGTTCATTGAGAAAGTTACACGGTTTGTTTCAACTTCTAATCATCCTGCCATCCATACTGCTTGCAAACCAATGATGGTAAGATGATGTCATAGGGTAGGACTGGATAAGTCTGACTTCTTCCTACTCCATTCAAGCATGTACTAGGTATAAGCAAATTGATTTTGGAATATGTGTAAAATATGTGTGTTGTCATATCAACTGCTTTACATGCTTGAAAGAATAAATCAAATCAAATCAAATCCTTGAGGAAGTTTGGGAGGTCATTGGATAGGTTTTACAAATCATTCAAGACTTTCAAGGGCTCACTGAATAGGTTCCACCCAACCCTGAGGAGTTTCAAGGACTGCCTAAGAAATTTTCAGTGGCACTTTGGGAGTTTACAGGGGTCTTGTAATTTCTAGCAGTCACAGCGAGTATTCAAGGGGCCACTGAGGACTAAGTAAGAATGTTCTAGTGGGAAACTGGAATAGTTACAGCTGATGTTCTATAGATCCAGCAAAGAGTCTTTGGGAAGATTTAAGGAGCCTCCTGTGAACAGTTTCCAGGGACCTTGAAAATGTTCTGTGGTTTTTAAGGATGTTTTGTTGACCCTTTAAAGGGCTCCATATCTCACTGAGGAGGTTAAAGTGGTTACTAAAGAAAATTCATTTACTGTATCCTTGAAGAATTTCAGGGTAGCCTAGCAAAGTTTCTGTGGTCCTTATGGAGGTTCCAGTGGTCCTTACAAGATTCTAGTGGTGCTTGGGAAGGTTCAAGGAGGCACAGCGTAGCTCCAGAAGTAGGCTTTAGTGATCTCTGAGGAAATTCAGAGCATCATTGAGGATGTTTAAGGGATTCAAGGAGGCTCTGCAGATTTTGGTTCTTAAGCAGTTTCTTTTGGGTTTGCAGGAGGTTTAAGGGGGCCATTTAAGAAACTTAAAGAGTTGAGTCTGCTCAATCTGAGGTGTTATATGGATTCTTCAGAAGGATCAAGGGGTCTTGGGAAAGTTCAGAGTTTTTGCACAAGTATGAAACAATGCAAAGCTTGAGAGTCCGAGCGTCGACTCCTGGTGTAACTCCACAGTCAGAAGTCACCAGGAGTACATTTTCACCTTTGTTCTTAGCGTTTGCAGATTTTGTGTAAGTTGTTGGTTTTTCTGTTTTTGTCTGAAGCTAGTGATGCTGCCATCTTGGCCAGGGCACCTTGCACAAGAGGTTTCTAACCTCAAAGTGGGTTAATCCTAACCCTTGGTTAAATATTGATAAAATAAATAAGCAAAAAAGTGCCAGAGTGTGTGACTGCTCCAAACACAGCCCAAAAAAAACAAAAACTCAATAAATCCTGAAAAACACTCTAACCGTTTTATAAGATTTTTTTATTTGCAATTGGCAGCAGTAACAAAAGAAGCTTGGATTTTAGCCCAGATGCTAGACGTGCACACATGTCCTGAACAAAATCAGAAATCACAGTAAAGTGGTGCTGTCACCTTCAGTACACACTGTACCCTGGGTGAGTTTGACTTGGCACACAGTGAGAGTACATGACTCAGATGGGCGTGTCAAGCATGCTGACCTTTAACCTCTCTGACTGACTGTGCAGTATTTATCCAACTGGACCAACAGCAGCACAGTGACTCTGCGCTCAGTCTCCATTCATTCTATTCAAACTGAAGTCACAAAGAACCACTGATGGCTGACCCTCAGACACTTTGCACAAACACGTTTTTCTGTTTTCCTGCATGTGAACACATTATTTTACAGCCCTGGTTTCTTCATGCCTTGAATATTGGAACAGACTGGTTAGTTGTCTTATTTTAAAAATCTGCTGATTGACTCCAGACCGTGCCAAACACATCCAGATGTATAGACACCCCAGTCCTGTTTGAGCTCCTTTCACCTGGCTCCCAGGATGTGTCAGAACTGAGTTTAAGCTTTTAAGGCTCTTCATGACCAGTGTGAGCTCCTTATCTGCCTGTAGTCGGGACCCTGAGACTCTGGATTGGCCCGAGGACTCGGACTGACTCAGTGACATTTTAACAGTAAAAAAAAAATAAAAATTTGAAAATGTAAAGGTACTTTAATCTGAGAGATGCTGATTTCATTTCAGTGTTTAATTCCCTTTCAGTAACTGCATTTATCTTACACCGGTAGATATGACTGGATCTTTTTTATCGGATGATTCTGATTCATTTATTTTGCTGCCCTACTGAAGCAGGTGCCCTGTGGGAAGCATGCTGTAAAAAATAAAGATTATTATTATTATTTAATGGCGGGTCACGTATGTTTAGTCTAGTCTGATGGAAATAACTTAACAATTTACACATACATGTTACACTTTAAAAAACATAATCAGCTCTTCTGTGTCTCTAGACGAGAAAATAATCATGGTGATGTCATCGTGCATGCTAACACAGCTGTCATTTACAGTATGACTTGACCATCGCACACACACCCTGGTTGTTATTCATGTGCACATGTGGCTCACATTTCAGTTACATGGCACTGACACAAACAGATGGGAAGGAGCAACACAACAAGATCAGATCTGACTGAAACATTAGAGCTGAGCATTAAGGCCTGAGTTGTGGACACAGTCTAATATGGTTTCAGACCAACAACGGCTTTGTTTTAGTCTGCTTTCTCAACACAATGTGCCAAGTTCAGACTCAGGTACTTAGGAGTTCAGTCTTGGCAAGTTCACCTCTGTTGTCCAAGTGCTGAAGGATGGAAGAAGGCAGTACATGCAGTTTACTCTCCAACACCACCAATAGAAATAGATAGTATTCCAGCAGGAACATGCATGGATGACTGGCCAGCACACTGCCTTGACATTTGACTGCAACAAAAGTTGGGTCTGGTTCATTTTCCCTGCCAGAGTGCTCTTTGTTGGCGCCCCCACTGTACTAATGGAGTGACTCCATTAAAATGAATCAGAGGTGTGTGTTTTCACACAGGGATAATGTCTGACTGAACACAGGATATCTCCACCTCTGATGCACATACCATTCTGGCTTTTATGTATCTTGTGAGTGCCCCAGATTTTTGGGCTGTGATGGAGAAACAGTTACACAAATGCACAGCTTCTGTGTTGCCTGAAAGTTGACAGGACATTGTTACTGCGCAGAAATACCCCATCATGTCTGTAAAGGAAGATTATTATCAATTAGGATTTTCTTCTATCTCCCCTACAACATGTGACTGGTGACATCATGTATCCACTGTGAAGAAACACAAACATGATTACATGATTACAACCTAATAAATGTGGACAAAATAATTCTTCCATCATTGTAAGAAAGCTAAACATGACCATGGTTTCACTTCTGTAGAGGTCTGTTTTGTGCCACACAAAGACCTTAGAAAAACAACACTTGCCTGAGACTTCAAAAGTCAAACTTTCATTTTATTTTAGGTCATTATCATGATGCAAACAAACACCAAGCTCAAGATTATTCCACAATATGCAGAGGAACATCCAGCGGACTGAGCCGGATGTACTATAGGCCTAAGTATCCTTTTTACATAGGAATATAAGAATATTTAAATGGCACTGTTTTGAGTTGTTTGCGACATATGTATTTTTCAACTCTCGTTTAAGTTTTCTCTTTTTTGTAATGTGCTGCAACACCTTACTTTGTAGGGCTATCTGTTAATTAGTTTTTCTTTAATAAAAAGCATTTTATGTGGATTCCTGATAGCATGCTTTTGATGATATAGTACAAGTAATGTTTATATTATTAATTACAGTGGTAACACGAATATAAAAAGGTAAAATTAGTAGTTTGAGTGTGAATAAATTTCATCTTTGAGAGATGAAGTCATGCCTATATTAACTCATTTGACCAACCTCATATTACATAAGAAAAACAAAACCAAAAAAAAAAAACAGGCCTTTCCTATTGGTCTAATAAGATGTCCATCGTAGAGTGCATTGCATCACTCTGCCGAACACACACCTGCGATTGGCCAGCGGCTCATTTCGCTGCCTCCTCCTCGTCTCTGGTTGGTTGACCATGGACATTGCCGTACATGGTAAAAGAGATTTCGCAATCGGCTCCTCTCCATGTTACAAACAAAAACACACAGAGCTCAGAGACACGGAATTAAACGCCAACTTCTTACGTTAACTTTTCATTACTTTGACGGATGGTTGAGTTTACCGCCGCCCCGTGAAGGTAAGCTGGGTTTTAAAGTCTTTGTGGATCGGAAAAAGCGAGCCAACAATAAGGTTAGGACTTGTTAGCACCAGAAGCTAAATAGCTGGCTAGCTGCCCGGCTAAACGGGTAGTTTAGTTACGTGCTTGTTAGAAGAAAGTGAAAATGTCGTGTTGTGTGTGTTTAAAGTCCAATTACACTCAGATTAGCGTTTGTATATAGGGCAGGAAATCTTAATGTTACGAATTATTTTTAAATCTTAAGGCTGCTTAGAATTGGCTAAAAGTTGTTAGAAGTGCATGGGAATTCAAAATTCACGGTCTTGTGTCCTTTTGTCGGGATGCTTGTCGTATGTTGTGTCATCCCGCAGTAAATTCGTATAAAATCTGAGGTTTGTGCGTAGCTCCGTATGACTCCGGAGTTCCCCTCTCTCGGCACAAAGACAGCCGATGATGATGCAACAGCAGGCAACAGACGAAGCGCTGTTGTTTGCACCCGGGACGCTTTTCCTTGCGCACAGCTGACTGGTGGCATGGCAACGAGCCGACCAATCAGAGCGGCGCTACTGATTGACCGTGCGGAATAATGATCGTGTGTGGAGGTGGAGGAGGTTGGTTAGCATCAGAGGTGACACCAAGCCTCCTGACGGATGGATCGAGGTCAGCTGGGGGTGGCAGAAATGAGGCAGGTGTGTGTGTAGGTCTGAGGGTACAGGTGTAGCTAGTGGTCACACAATAGGGAGCAGAATCACTTCAACAGATGTGCCATTGATTAACAAATGACTGTCTACTGATCATCATTTAATAATTGAGCTCTGAGCTTTGAACTGTTGGTCACACAGAACAAGCTTTGTGAGGGGTTACTGAATTAATTACACATTGAACAATCAAACAGGTAGTTAAAAGGGACAGTTGTGGTCCTGTACAAAATATCTCCATCTTGGTCTCATATGATATTAAACTGACAAAACCTGACATTATCAGGAAGTGGTGATGGACAATTTCCTGTTTCCCTATGTTGTAACAACAAACAATTAATGGAGAAAATTATTAACTTTAATAAAATCAGTTGTTAGTTGCAGCCCTACATACTATTAATCAATTTAAGGAAATGAGTAGACTAACCAGAAATGAAGCTAGCTGTTAGTTTGAGACCTAAAAGCACCAAATGGTTTCCATAAAGTAAAACGTGTCCTCTTCTGTCCCACAGGTTGTGTTCAGGTGAAGCCCTCCTCTTCTGCTTCCTGTCACTGTTTTATCTCTATACCTGAGGAGACTCTGGTTGGAGATCAGCACCTGCAGGCAGCACTTCCAAATGAGCCGGCCGTCACAGCTGAAACTAACCACAACTGATCACAACGGCGTTAGCGTCATCCAGAGTCAGGCCCACGCCTCCTCATCCTCATCTCTTCCAGCAGCTGTAGCTGGGCTGCAGCAAGTCCCTCAGCTCGTCCCCACCAACCCTTCAGCTGGAGGCGGCAAGGCCCTCCCCCCCAGCAAGATGAAGAAGCCTCCAGCAGACAAGGACAGCGAGGAGTACCGTCAGCGCCGTGAACGCAACAACCTGGCAGTGAAGAAGAGCCGCATGCGCAGCAAGCAGAAGGCGATGGACACACAGCAGCGTGTCAACGAGCTGAAAGAGGAGAACGAACGGCTCGAGGCCAAGATCAAGCTGCTGAGCAAAGAGTTGAGTGTGCTCAAAGACCTCTTCCTGGAGCACGCCCACAACCTGGCCGACAATGTGCAGCCAGCCGCCAGCACTGAGGGATCAAGCCCCACCCCCAACACTACCACTGCTAATGGGCAGTGAGGTGCGGTGTCACATGGACTTTTGATACTTGCAGCTTTGGAAACATGGCTTCACATCTTCTTCACAGCTTTATTTTCTCACATTTAATCTGCAACCTCGAACACCCCCCCCTTTAAAAGCCACGTACAGTTTGTGTAGATTGATGGTGACTTTTTAAACTCATTCACATTCAGACTGAATCCTGGAACAGTTTCCAGTGACAGAAAGTATCTTCATGTGACATGCCAAAGGAGAGGCCACACTGGAGTATTGATCAGCTGGTTATTGGAGCACTGCGTCCAAATGAGCCGGCCTATGAACCTGCGAACTGCTATGAACCTGCAGTGAATCATTCCTGTTTCCTTCTCCCGTGGGCTCATTAGAAACCCGGGTGGCTGGACCAGGTGTTGGACTCGCTCTGCGCGCACTCAGCTGCAAGATGTACATGTCAAGTCTTAAATTCCCTTTTCTAGGATGCGTGTTTTCTGGTGTTCTGCTAAAAGTTTTTAACGTTGAAAGTACATTCACTACATGTTGATGTTTGAAGGACATTTCTGGGTTTTTTCACATTATCAGTCGTCATGTATTTCATTCTGTTCCATTTCAGTAGCAATACTGAAAAATACCTTTTTAATACTTACTCTCTTGAGTATGAACACAAATCATGGTGAAGCTCTGTCAGGCCCAGGGTGTAGATGCTACCAGACAGGATTGTCCTTTACTGGATGGTCTTCTGTTTGAGCTGCACACTTTCAACCTTTGTGTCTACACAGTCGAGTCTTTCTGGATGATGGTGAAGGGCCGTTCCATTTTGTAGCCTGGGTCACCTTGTCATATTTGTGCTCGGTACACCTGCAGGTGACTGCCACCTCCAGAAACATGAGTCTTAAACAGGTCCTGGAAAACCTGGAATACTTGATTCCATCTTCCCAGTGTTTGTCCTGTTTATTAATGCAACAAACCTAAGAACATGGTGGTTCAAACAGACCCTGAAACACATCCTGTTCTCTTTGTTAGCTTTAATGATCATGATCTGCAAGTGTCATTTAAGATGTCCAGACTCCTCTGGATGTCACACATCGATCAACAACAGAAGGGAAATGGGTGGAATCTTTCTCTAATCTCTGCTTTTTGTGACACGCTGGGTAGTGTTGTTCCAGGAGACGAGATATGCTCCAGGTGCCCATTGTGTTTGTGTCTGAAGAAATGACTCCTCATTGATTAACTTCCTGTCAGCTGCTGTGTTTGTGACACAGCTGGCCACACATATGATGGTACGACCCAGGCTCTGTTTAAACACCATCTAAAAGTAGGCTTTGAGCAGCGACCCCACCTGGCCCACCACCACTCACTTGGTGGAGCTGCGTGTATGTGTGTCTCATATGCTGGGTGTAGGTGTGTGTGTTTGTGGTGCTGGGTGGATCCAGACACCTAAGGCAAGCCGCAGTTTTCATTAAATCCGGTCCAGACTGAGTTGTTAGCCGTCTGCTACTGAAGTCTGAGCAAATCTGGACAGGCCCCGCTGCGGCCTCCACCTCGTTAGCTTGCCGTTTGCCGCAGAGGGGGTGGGTCTTGCTCTCAGACTTGATAATTATGTGAGCTTTGTGCAGGTGTGGAGTGTTTTTTCCCAGGATCTGTCTGCCAAGAGCTTCACCTCCCTGCAGGAATGTTGTTGTCTGAGTGCTGATGCTCCTGAGCTCAGCTCAAAGTTCCCACAACGTTCCAGCTACGTTCCCACCAGGTTGGGACACTAAACTGCTCTGGTTGTGTTGCAGTCTCCAAGTTTGGCTGGGGACTCGGATGTCTTCCCTGATTCTAGACTTACAAGGAATGTTCCACTCTGGATTTCTCACTGTAAAGTAAATTATAGTTTCATCAGGCTGATGCTGACTGATCAGAAAGCCTTTATTCTAATTGAAGGAAGTAATGTAAACTTAATGAAAAGACGTCTTTTTGTCCACATGCACCAGTCTGCAATACACAAACACACGCAGCTGGGTTTCTGGCAGATTTTACCAGGAAAGACATCCCTGAGACGTGGTGAGCGATTTCTCTGTCCTGTCCTCAGTGCTGGGCTGCACATGTGATTTAAACTGAGTCTTGACTAGACTTGAGGAGATAAAGGGAACGTGCAGAAAGACCCCTGTTTTTACTGAGACAGACATTGTGTGTGTTGCAGCCCTGTTTAGTTGTAATCATGTTTGTGTTGAACATTGTTCACAAAGCGTCAGCTCGAGTGTCCAGTGCGAATTCCAAGGCAGATGTCAACTTTTAAATTAAGAGTCTCAACTCGTGAGAAACGGTGGTGTAACGTTGTGGGAACTTTTGCCGCTCACTGGCTGAGCCTTGGCGAGCAAGATTTTCATCTTCCTCACTTTTCTATGGTTTGTTTTGGTACTCTTCTCTTCCCCGCAGCATGTTTGTCGATGTCTTTGCATGGGGTTTAGGGGGTCACTGTGGAAACACTGACTGTGTGCTGTAAAAGAGCCTAACATGTTGGCATGTCTGTGTGTTGGGCTGAATGTTGCTGGGCAGCATTTTTGTCTCTCAGCTTTTTTATATCACAGGAGCCTGGGGGCTGAGCATTGGAAATTAAAACTGTCTGAAAGTGAAACTGTGTGCTTTTTTTTTTTTTTTTTTTTTTTCAAAATTCTAAACATGCTTTCTGTTCATGCCCCTGTACACCACAGTGGATGGATTGGTTCACTTATAAAACACAGTTTGACTCTCATGTGCATACCATAAGCAACTTTAATGCCACACAAGGTGAGTTGCAGGTGGATGTTAAGAGGATTGTGTGACATCGTATCACTACCTCCTCAGATTGTACACAGGCTCCATAGTTCTCAGGGGAAGCACATGTTATTAATTTGCCAGTGGGAGATCATTCTAATACTGTGTATTGAAAGAAAAGAGAACTCGCCATCAGAAACGGCCTCACAGCCTTTGTCATCGGCGTTGGATTAACAACACTCCCGATCTTTGCCACTTTTCAGCATCTGTATTTAGTGTCATATGGTTATTGGTATGTATATACTGCATGTGTGTGTGTGTGTGTGTGTGTGTACTGTGTGTTTTAATGAAAGCAGCTGTGACTGTTTCTGACATGATCTAAGTCGTCCTCCCCCACTGTGGCAGGAAAGTTGTTTTTATTCATTCATTTGACGTGCACACAATGTAACCCAGTCGTCCACTGTTTGATAACCCCCATGTGTAACTTTGAGCTGTACAGCTGTGCTTCATGTCCCTAAATTGCAGATTCAGCTTTAGAAACTAAATCTTCCTCAGCCCACAACCTTTTAGTCTGTTTGTGATGGTGAATGAGTTTCTAAATTTAAAACATCTAAGACAAACTGTGAAATGGGAGTTTCAAAGATTTATATAGTCATGTCTTATGATTTTTACTTTCCTGGCCCTGTCATGTTACCATTTTATTTATTTAGTTTTTTTTACTCGGGTGAAAAAAAGAGCTACCCAGGTGAAAATCCATTTCTCATGTTGGTGTTCAGTACAAGCCAAAGGTCCTGTCCTGTCCCCCCCACCCCTTTATCAGCCGACTGGGGAGGGGGGCTCATCTCGTACCACACGGTCATGTCCCGGAGCGACCAGGTCCTGCAGAGACAGAGGGGACGACTGTCAGCCCAGGTCCACGCTTCGAACTCTGTGCAGACTTTACAGTTTCACAGGTTGTAGGAGTTGTTCTGCTTTATAGTTCTGCAAAGCAGTTTTACCCGGACACACCCTGAGGCCACAGGATCCACAGCTGCTTGAACTTTTGTCCTTAGACAAACATTTAAATGTCATTTTATGGATTTACAAGGACAGTGCACAATCGCCATGTCTGTGCAAAAGTCCGGTTCCACCAGCATTAAAACAAAATCTCTTCGTCTCACTGGAGACGGTAGATTTACTCACACAACCCTTCAGTGGATTCATATCTGACATTTAGATCTCCGTATTAATATTGGCTGACTAATAGGAAACGTTCTTTTCTGATGGCTTATGCTGTGTTGTGTAACTAATATTTGGTCCGTGTTTTATCATTTAGATCATGAGACAATTTTAAACCAGAATTTATAAGTAAAGGAGGCCTAGTTATTAAAAGCAGTGGAAAAAAGAGCAGTCTTTGTGTTTTGGAAGTGCCTATATGAGAGCTGCATCCAGTGCTGGAACATTTTGCTGGCTTTGAATCAACTGTGTGCTTATTTCGCTGGATACAAGTATTAACATGTATGTCACCTGTGTGTGATCGGGGTTTTCCCGCCTCGCTGCTGCGATGGAGCAAAGTGCAGCTGGGACGTCCCTCTGCCTCCTGCTGATGAATCAGGTCACAATGGTCTGACTGTGTTCATCAAGCCAAGGAAATGAAGAGTATCCCTAAAGATGGAGCATGTTCAGAAAACAACTCAGGAGCAAAAAGATAAATAAAATAAATAAGAGAAGCAAAATAAAGTTTAAACTATAAACTATATAAAGGAACCCTGAAAACTTCTCAAAGACTACTATACCTACAGCTTTCTCAAAAATGATAAAATTAAGCGTGTCACAAGGATCCTGGATCCATGGAACTCCCTCTGACCTATTACACCTGCTCAATGACCCCTGACCCTCCTCAGTGACCTTCTGCACTTCCTCAGGACCCCCTGACCCTCCTCAGTCATCTCCTGACCCTCCACAGTCACCCCCTCACCCTCTACAGTTATCCAGACCCTCCTTAGTCACCCCCCTGACCCTCCTCAGGACCTCCTGAACCTCCACAGTTACCCCCGACTCTTCTAAGAAACTGTTAGAACCTGCTATGTTCTCTGTTTGTAGATGTGTTCTCTGTCTGCAGATTTAGCCTCTTGGACAAACACTTTTAAACTTTGTCACAAAGATCAAGCTTTTCCTCCTTAGCACTTCTGACATGTGCATGTTGTCTTTTCCTGTGTAAACCTTCTTATTTTCCTCGTCTTTACATGTACGTTCCTTTCTGTTCCCTTATGTAACAGTCTCCTTTCTCCTTTGTTTTTCTTTGGCTCCTTTTTCATTTCCATTTTCCTTTTCCTCCCTTTTTTGTCCAGCTCAGTTGCTTTATGTTGTTCTCTAACAGCCTCTGTGCTTGTCTGAAACTGTTTCACAGAAGCAAAAGGCCAGATCACAACCTGAGGACTGTTGTCACGCACCAGGCACAGGACAATCTTAATATGAAATATTGAGGAGGTGTTAAACTGAAGGTTTTCCTTGTTAATCCAGACTGAACATTCATTCCATTGCAGCCATGTGAAGTGTGAGACCGGGTGGGTGTGTGCT